TCCGCAGTCGTGTCGTGTCGCTGTATGAAGAGCAACGAGGCTTCTCTGTAAGTCCACGGAGTGGCCAGAGCTCAGGAGCAGAGAGGAACCCGTTCTGAAGCGCAGTTCGTGGTTCTCGTTCGCACTTAGTGGCGACTACTTCTTCGGCTTTGGGTTACCAGAGATTTCTCGGTACATTGAAGAGCTGCCGTACGCTGCCACTACAGCGATAAGTCGTCGCGCGGTGGTACGGAAGCTTCGACAGCAACAACAGCGTCAAGGACAGAGTCCTCTAGCTGGGTCCGCGGCGGCGACGTGGGGCTCTGGCGCGCGTAAACGCAGCCACGACAGCATGGAGCAGAGCGCTGTGAACGCAGCGCAAGTCATCTCGTTGATGCTCGAGGAAGAGGAGGATGAAGAGCTGTACGAGTTTAGTCAGACACTGCCGTCAGCAGAGACGTTCCAGACCGCAGAGCGCGTCATGGAGCATCTCGTACGAGCCGAACAACGCGCACGCCAGTCTTCTGGCTGTGCACGGACCGATGGCTTTGAAGGCAATCGGCTGTTTGGATCGCCCAAGAAGGCCAAGATCATGCCAAGACGCCAAGCTTTGAGCAAGGAGGCGACCAATGAACCAGTGCTTGGAGGCAACTCGAGTGGCGTGGCGATGGATATCGAGCACTTGCCCATCACAATGCAGTATCGCGAGCTACGACGACGACCGTTTGACGAGCGAATGTTGGTGAGGAAGTCGTCGATCCACGGCTACGGATTGTTCCTGAAGGAGCCTGTGAGTGATGGCCAGATGATCGTGGAGTATCAAGGACAGATGATTAACCAGACGATAGCAGATGAACGAGAGCGACGCTATGAGGAGCAAGGCGTCGGCAGTTGCTACATGTTCCGTCTGGATGAGAAGACGATAATTGACGCGACGCGGTGTGGGAATCTGGCGCGGTTTATTAATCACTCGTGCGACCCGAAGGCCTTTGCGCGCATTGTGGCGGTGGAAGGAGGAGAAAAGAAGATTGTCATCTTTGCCAAGCGAGCGATTGCAGTGGGGGACGAGGTGACGTATGACTACAGTTCCCTATGAAGATGAAGCGATCCGATGCGACTGCAACGCCCCAATGTATCGGCGCATGAATTAGCTTCAACGTTTAATCGCAGCAGAAGATTTTTTTTTCTGCGCAAACGTAAACGTTTAAATGTTTTACACAAGAACATTTGCATGAAGCACATAATATGCGATATAGAAGGCTCACTTACGTGCCTGAAAGCCAGTGCTGAAATCCAAGACATGGCACTCGTAGCACATGATTTAGTTCTACAAAACCCGGCGGTTAATTGACAGTCGGGTCAGTTGGACATTAGATACTTCCTCTCCCCCCATGAACCCCATCGTAAACGACTTCGTGCAAAGCTGATACGCTGAAGCTAACACGACAAAATGCGATCACATCTATTGACTTTTGACACCTGCCACTTTAGTTGCCTATACTACACCGTCCCACGCGGGTTTATCACCCATACACTACTTTTCTTGCACAGTTTCAGCTTGATGCTACTTGCTCCTCAACTTGTCGCCGGTAATCGGTTGGGCCTCCTGGCGACGATGTCTTCGTCTTCGACTCCTTCTTGCTCTCCTTCCCGACTGACTTGACGTCGGCAGCGTCCGCGGACACAGTCGCATACTCCTTCTGATCATTAGCAGTCGCAGACTCTTTCTCGCCACCAGTAGCACTAGCACTTGATGCCACCAACTCATAACCAAAGTAGCCCGGGTATCCATAGTTGGAGTAGCCGTATCCGTTACTGTGAGAGCCGTAGGAAGCGTCGTAATCCGGGTAGTATCCATTTCCTTTGCCATACCACCATCGTATGACGAGTAGTATTTAAAGTCAGGATAGTAACCGTAGCTGCCGTATGACGAGTAGTAATCGGGGTAGTAGTCGTTTCCATACCCCTTGTCATAATTGTAGTAGTCGTTGCCGTAGCGCAGGTGCTCCGAAATAATCATTGTATTGGAGTTTCAAAACAATATTAATCAATACTTTTTTATTTTGAGATGCCAGATATCACTTTCAATAATTTATTTTTTCCATGGTCTTTTCAGTTTTGTTTTTCGTATCCCTTTCCACGTTTTTAACTTAAAAACCATTTTAAATGGAAGGCGTATTTTGGCTGCAATTATTTATTTTCGCTGATGATTTCAGAGAAACAAAATCTTATTTCTAAGGGCTGTGATAATATTATTGCAATGTTATTATCGGAACCGGGTCGTCGCCGTAGCTCTTGTAGCTGTAGCTGTAGCTGCCACCATATCCCTTGTTGTCGTCGTTGCTCCCGTATCTTTGTGCTTATAGTCGCTGAGCTTGTAGTCGTTATGCTTATCGTCACGGTTGCCGTTGCTATCACGGCCACAGTCATCGTTACCGGACCAGTAGCACAAGCATGACCACGACCACGACCGCGACAAACACCAGCACCAGCACCCACGACAAAGAAGGACCACGACAAGAAGGATCGTCCGCGCTACTACGACCCGTCGCCTGGAAGATTTAAAGGCCACCAAGGCTACCGAGTCTTCGGACTACAGCTACGGCAAAGACGTTTATGGTCACGGTCACGACGACCACGACTTGGCGCCCGTAGTCCTTGTACGACCCGAGTTGGCGACGTGGGGCCGCAAAATTAGCCATTATACGAGCGTCGGTTGCCTGCAGGATAGAAGCAGCGACACAGGGCGAGTATGGCGAGGAAGTTGTAGTGCATCTTGTCAGAGAACTGCAAAAGTTCGTGAGAAGTGGTTTGGCTGGGATTGGAGTATGTCTGTCGAGTGCTGAAGAGGAGGCAAGATGGCAAGTGAGAGAGCGAGCAACAGCCGATCCGATCGAGCTCTGGACTTGGTGGTGCATTAGCCATCGTGGTCACCTCTCGAATCTTCACACACTTTCTCTATTTTCGCCAATTTAATTTGTTGCAAGGACTACATTGATATCCGTGTATAAGATGGCATTAATTCAAGTAAATAAACAAAAAAAGCGGTAAGATCCAAGATAATCATCATGTTAGCAATGCAGTGCAACTTGGTTTCTGTGTTGTAGCGTTTATCCCGCAACTGGGTGAACAACATCAGAAGCTCGATCTACATATTTAGTTGTATGTCAGCTTTCCGTTGCGAATTCTCTTAAACCAGTAAAGGTACTTCGCGTACTTTTCGTCATAGAAAGCCCCCATCTTGTCGAGTGTGTGCTGCATCGAGTTACCCTTTGAGATCTGGCGCACAATCCAGGCATCTGCTTGTTCGAGCTAGTGGGCGGCCTGGACGATTTCCGAGCCACCACGTCCCTCCTCTTCGTTTTATTGAGCTTTAGGATCCGTCTTGTCGACACGTAATGCCGGAGAATCCGCAAAATATTGTACCGGTACCTGTGCGGCAGAAAATGAAGGGGCTTAGTAATCAAATCCCCATGGGGGGCTCAATTTTGATATGACATTTAGATATGTGATAAAACCGCCCATTTTGAGTATGATTTTGGTGTTAAAACCGGCTAATTCGCAGTAGTTTTGTC